CATAAAATTCCCACAACAGACAAAGCTTTGGTGCATCAAGAGGAATGTGTGTGTGTCGAGCTGCAGGAACTATCAAATCCACAGTAGATAACCGGTTGTAACTAAAATCTCTTCTGACCTCAGCCCTGAACACACAAGCTGGAGATAGATTTTATGAGGAAAGTGCAACTGTTCTAGGAAAAGACACCAATAACTGTTTTTTTTTATTATCATTCTGCTCTAACTCTCTCTCTAGTGGCAGCAAAAAGTCACTCATAATGTTGAATTTAAATCAATTGTATGTATTTTAATGGCAACATACTTATTTTGTTTTAACTTAGCAACTGCTGTTATCTCATATTGCTCCATCTGCTATAGGGTGTGTTTTCAGTCTAATGCTCATGTCAATGACAGATAAACTAAATTGTGCTAAAATCTAAAAATATTTGAGAATAATTTCAAAACACTTTAAAGTTGGACTGCAAAACATGTACCCATCATCAGTTCCTGATTTAAAGCCTTAAAGGCTGAAATCACAAAAAATATACTTTATATATACTGCAGAATCTCACGCCGAAGCCTCAGTGATGAAAGACCTTGCTCTGATCAGAGCTACGTGAGACACTTCAGGATGTTTAACTTCATTCATTCACTCATTTCATTTATAAAGCACCATCCACTACCTCAGCAGAAGCCCAACGAAGAAGAAGAAGGATGCATACCTCCAGTTTGTCTTCCTCCACAGCATGGTGTATTTCTTTAATTCATTTTGACGGGGCAATACACGTAAAAGGACACACTGCTTATCCTAAATGTGCACATTTTATTTATAAGACTAGGAATAAAACAAAAAACCCAGGCAAAAATGAACAGGACACGAGAATTAACAGGATCACGAGGGTCATAAAACTACCGATAAAGAGTAAAGCACATAAAGGTTTTTGTCGCTAAAGAGGTTGGTCACAGGTTTTATTTTAAGCCTTAAAAGAAGTATCCACCCTATTCCAGCACCGGCTCATATAGAAATGATGATGTGGGCAACATCTGGTCAGATACCGTAAGTGGTGCGAAGCCACTGGCTTGCAGGGGGAGGTTTCGTTGCTAGTAGCAGTTTATTATACCATTTCAAGAGGATTTTAAAAACTATTTGCCACCGAAAAATGTACTTGCATGGCTCGGTAACATGTAGTGCTGTTGGTCGTTGTACTAACTACCAGAGAAAGTTACGTTTGTGGCTACAAGAGTGACTGGAAATGATCATTAAACTAAGGATGGACAATATATCGGCATCAATATCGGTATCGGCCGATGTTAGTCATTTTTTAACATATCGGTATCGGTCCGATAAACAAAACCGAGCCGATGTTAACAACCGATATTTTTTCCATCTTGACTCCATTTGTTTGCTTGTTTCAGAGGGTAGCATAAATGTGTGTGGTGTGTGTACATAATAATGTAAATTCTGCTGATTTTAGCAGCATTAATGTCAGTATATCGGTATCGGCAAATATCAGTTATCGGCCATAATAGTGACATCTGTATCGGCCCAAAAATGTCATATCGGTGCATCACTACATTAAACCTATCATAAAAATGATCTTCCAGAGGATGAAAGGTCTACACCAACAACCCGCTGTTCAGATTTCACCTGGTGTGGAAACTAAAACCCGGGCTTGGTGATAAGGTAAAACCCAGGCTTGGTGATGGGGGATTTGTTCCAAATCTTTGGTGAATGTATGAATGCTTAAAGCTCCGTAGAAAATAATTTCACCCATTTTCATTGACTTGTTGCAATTAAAATGCAATAAGACTTGTTAGATGATTAAACTGGGTGAAATCATAAAGCTTAAAAAATAATGTAAATTTTAGTAAGTACAAAAATTGTTATTTGGAAAAAACAAGAGATTTAAAGGGTCCTAATACCCTTTTTGAGCCTTAAGTAGACAAAAAAGTCTCCTGATTTTAATGAGAGTAAATAAGGTCAAATGGTCTGGCTACTGAGTCCTGTCATGTCTGGAAATCCTGCAGCAGCTGCCTTATTCTGCCCAGTTATGGTGCAGCCAGTTATATCATCCTTTCATGGGGGTAACTTGACCTAATTCAGTGACATTAATTTCCTTTGAAACAAAATGCAAAAACTCTCCAACCACTCAGAACACCAGCGGGCTTTAATCCCCATAACGAGTGCACCAAAGTCAGCGTGTGCTAGCATATCCCTAACATTCTGAGGACAGGTCTGGGTTTGTGGAGTTCTGCAAGCCAAACTAATTCATTCAAGCAGGGCTGAGTCAACGTTGCAGAGGGCAAATACTATTTTTCAGCTGATTTACAACAAACCACCAAACTCCATGTGCCAGGGAACTCACCTTATGTTAAACTTTTGTAGATGTGCCTATACGCCAACAGAGAAAACAGTCTGAAAACTCAGTAAACGCCAAACACCATTTTTCCTTCAGAAACCTGGACTGAAGACCTAAACTCTGATTGTGAAACAGAATCAAAAACAGTCCAGAAAATGTGAAATTCAACAGCAAAGGAGAACCAGTCCAAACTCCAACCTGGTTCCAACTGACTGCATGATGAACGTTATGAAACAACTAACGTCTTTCCCAGTGTCTGCTTTATCTCAACACCCAAGACTCGTTTCTGCATCCTGGGTCATGTCAGATTATGTCAATGAACCCAACCGCCCCAAATCATCTTTCCCAAAGATACCTCCAATGCATCTGCCCTGAAATGTTTTACAGCTTTGGCATGTTGTCTTTTATTGCCTCAAATAACCACTCAGATCCTTGTTGTCCAGATGAGATTGCTACTCCATTCCCATGATGAATATGAAAAGGCTATCACCCATAGAGTGATGTACAATAAAACGCGTGAGAAGCAGATTTTTACAACTGACCCCATGTTGAACAATGTGTCCATCTTTTTTAAGAGTTGCTAAAAGGGAAGTCTACTCCCAGCTGCTTTTATGTGTTTTCTGTTGCTTAATTAAAGCCATTTCTGGACTTGATAGCTTAAATGCTCTAAATTAACAAACAGCTGCTTTTTAAACCAGCTCAGAACTGCTTCAAGACAGATTAAAGATAATTTACAGTGACGTAGGTGATCTGCATGAGCAGCAGCGAATTCTTAAAGTCTAGATTCTGGTCTGGATCTGTCATCCAGACAGCATCACACATTGTGTTAGACTATATTTACCTTATAAAATGGGTGTTAATTTCATTCAAAAGCTTGTATTTGTATCAATAAATTGTTTGTTTGGGGAAATTAACATTTTTAAACTTGTACTAAAATACTGGTCATGAGCCTGGTCCAGGGTTAAAGAGCAAGTCACCCCCAAATAAACTTTTTTTTGCTGATAAACTAAATAAACGACTGTCTAATCGTGCTGCAGACACGTGTCGTCAATAATTTGGCACTTCAGTGCATCTTAGTTAAAATTTAAATATTCTGCCTAAAACTGGCAGTGTTGTGCCGTTGTCAGTTAAAAACTCTGCACTGTATTTTAATTTAAATCTGCCACCGCTATTGGCTAAGAAGTATGCTATGATGTAAACTGGTACATTATGATGTCACAATGCTGTCGTGAAACTGAGTGTGTGTGTATTTGTTAGCAGCTCCGCCCCCTCGGTCTGCCAGGCAACAGTATTTGTTGCATTTTTCAAACATGAAGTGGGAGTGGAGTTAGACTCTGGTAGGGGTTGACTTGCTCTTTAAGATCTGGATCTCTAACTGTGGTATCAGATCATGTGAAAGTCCACCTGTCTGGGTTCAGCAAACTGTATTAACAGTCCTGTTCATTCTGTCCTTTTCAGTGACATCATCAACCACTGTAACACCTAATTTTGCACATTCATATTAAGGTATTTTAAAATATCAGTGTAAAAGCTCTCAATGTTCTGCAGAATCACAGCATTGTGTTATAGTTCAAGTTAATAAGTCATTGTTTTTTTTATTATTATTATTGTGTGGCTACTTATTGGTTGAATTGTTTTACATTTAATTTATAAATGTGCACTTTTTTGAGGTTAAAGCAAATAAAAACGTGGAACTCAGGAAAATAAAAATGGAAAAAGCAGAATTTGGAAAAATAAAAGATTTCAAACAGCATTATTGTAAGATGAAGAATTATTGTTACCGCTCACCCAGAGTGTTACATGATCACTGGCCTTGACGGCTACTGCGTTGTTACGTGTTCATTAGCCTCTGCCAGATGCACACACTAACAGCATGAATGTAGTCGCTGATGTTCTGAAATCACTCAAATAAAGAAACCCGTATGAAAAATGCCCTAAAGCTCAACGTGAAGCTGACCGTCTCAACTTAAATACTGTTTAATCCATTTATTGTGGGAAGAGAGTTTTCTTGAGGCATGGAAATTATATCACATTAATCAAATAACAACTTTAAATCTTCAGCACACATTAGAGCATTTTCACACGTGCAGGCAGTACGCCTTTGTTTATAGGATTTGTGTAAATATGATAGAAGGGATTTTGGTAAACGTATTTTTTTTTCAAACTGCTTCTTGACATAAAAACATGTTTGTGGCTCTTTTTTTTTCAGCTGACAACTTATTGATTTACTCAAAAGAAAACGAAAATGACCACAAAGTGTAGTTACTAAATCCTAAACTGAAAACGCGTGAATGGCAACGGCTACGGTATCCTCCAGATGTGTCTGAATTAAAACCGGGTGACATGCTTGTATAAAACCTAACTAATTCGCGTGATCAGCCCCTGTGATGAGCCGTTACCACCGTCAGCATACGTGTCTGTGCCACCCCTGTTCCCCTCAACATTTTTACCAAAAACAAACAAAAACATCACTGGTTGAAACTTTTAAACAAAGGAGAAAGATGGCAAACACAACAGGTTAAAGTCTGAAAAGGGACAAAATATATATATAAAGTTAATCATGGCTTTGTGTTCTCAGAGCGCATAAAAAGTCCACAGAGGGACAGAGGGAAGGGGGCTACTCCCTGTTCTGTTCGCTAGACCCGGGTCGGAAACACTCACCCGCACCGCTTCAGTCCACGGAAGGACCTCTCCGTCCACAGCTATGATGTTGGAGCCGAGCTCACGCTGCGTTTGTGGACATTCTTTGCACGAGACAAGAAAAATGCCAACGTCTATAAGCGCAGGGCGCGCGCGCACGAGGTCGCACGCGATTGGAAGCAGCGATGCGTTCAGGGCATCGAGAAGCTCGTCCCTCCTAAATCAATGAACACCTCCTCCTCCAGAGGGGCTGACAACTCGGCCTCTCGAGCGTGAGTGTGGTCAGTAGATAGCGGTTTACGGGAAGCCTTTTTTTTCGCAGCGTATCACCGTTTTTCACGCTTTCTTGTTTAGTACGCATGCGCGCGCGGGTACACCCACTAGTCTGGGGAACGGATTAATTCATCAACCTTTCAGCCAGAAAAGTTTTGAGCACAGACTTGCATGATATATATATATATATATATATATATATATATATATATATATATATATATATATATATATATATATATAATACTATACATATATTTTTCGTATTTGTATGTGTATGTATATAAGTGTTTTGCCCAAGGTGGAAGGAAGGATCAAACTTGCAACCTTCCAATTACTGGAAAACTATCGCGTCATACCCGTGTCACAACCCGTGCACGCGCATTGGGTCCACAGCGCGCGTGTGAACGGGACTCGCGAGCGAAAATATACATGGCAAGAGTATCGCGTCATACCCGTGTCACAACCCGTGCACGCGCATTGGGTCCACAGCGCGCGTGTGAACGGGACTCGCGCGCGTGTGAACGGGACTCGCGAGCGAAAATATACATGGCGAGAGGTCATTTGTGCACAGAGAGGGAGCAAACTGTGTCTGTGAGCGCACAAGGATGTGCACAAGTGACAAACCTGCGTGCGCGTGTTGTCAACGAGCACACGGCAGAGGAAAACGTGCGCGCGCGGCTATGGCAAGCCAAACCCGTCACAATACGCCACTTTCCCAACCCGTCTAGTTAAGAAATGGCGAAAAAAACGCCGTTTGATGTGCCAAGACGTCGTAAAATACGGCGAAAACTCTGCCAGAACGCCGTAATTTACGCCGTTCTGAACGGTCCCGTAGAACGCCCGTAAAATACGCCGTTTTTTCCGGACATTGAACGCCGTTTTTTACGTCACCCTAATCCCAGACGCGTTCTCTGTGTGGGTGGCATAAAATACGGCGTTTGGTACGGACATTGAACGCCGCTTTTTTCGCCGTCCTGTGACATAAAACGCCGCTTTTAACGCCACTTTGTGACAGTTTTAACTCGTTTAAAATTCAACTTTACTCTCATTTATGCAGAGCCCTCCCCATGGGTTTCTCATCCACTTAATTTAAACTCCAGTGACCCAATGAAAGACGAGGAGGTTGAGGCAGCACTAATTCATCCCAGATTCGCCGGGCTGTCGGGCTGTGCGGATTGCTGTTTTCTAATACAACTCGGCTCTGTTTCAACTAATTTCACTGTATTGAAAAAGCCTTGAAATGTAGTAATATTATCAACAATGTGTCAACATTATTATTTTTTCTGTCCACCTGTAAAAGGCAGAAACGCTGTTTCAGTCAGACCTGATGATTACTTAAAAGTGTAGCTGCCGTATCAGTCTGTCCTCGTGGCTCGTGAGTCCAGCTGAAACATCAGTGCTCTTTCTGTCCAAAACTCCATTCTTCTTAAGTTCATCCACTTTCAGTATTTACTATTGTGACTGTGTGTGTGTGTGTGTGTGTGTGTGTGTGTGTGTGTGTGTGTGTGTGTGTGTGTGTGTGTGTGTGTGTGTGTGTGTGCTGTCGCAACGTCCCGATTGATCATGCGCCCTGGCTACTTGGCCAAGGAAATGTTCCTTTGGCTGACTGTTAGAGCGTATGACTCTCACCCGGGAGTCTGGGGATCGAATCCCGCCCGAGCCCTCGTTTATCCACCTGGCCACACTATTGTTTTTTTTTTTTTTTTTTAACGACTGTTATACTTGTCTTACAGGAGCTTCTGAAGATGTTCTGTCTTGCTTCTCCATCATCACTCTCCAGCTCCTCAGACCAGCCACTCCAGAACCTTCCCAGATCCAGGATCAGAGCACTTTAATTAAAGTTTGAAACATGTCTGCTTGTTGTTCTCCTATAGAAGCCTTAAACTAGAATTTGCTAATGAGCTTTCTTGGCTAAAATATGCTCTTAAATGTTTTTATTTACATAATCAAGAAACACGTTTTTCATTGCTGCTTCACCAAGACATGACTGAAAATGTCCTCATGATCCTGAAACGCTGGTTAAAACAAATTAATTTTAACCTCTTATAAAACAAACGTGTCTGTTGATGATTATGCCCACTACAATACTGAAGCACCTGCATACTTGCTACCGATTTGCTAACTTTCTGTAATATTTGATATTTAAGTTGAAAACATGAACTGCTGTAACACAAATTCCAAATGTTCTAGTTGAGCACTTGTTTCTAGTCAACTAATCATTATTTCTGTGATTAGTCAGCTTTTTCCTTTTCAATAAACACATGGAAAAATTACAATTATCTTACTGAAAAATGGTTTAACAGTGTTGCACATGTATAATAATCTGCACTGGTTTTCACAGTTAGGGCATTCTTCAAACTATAATAATAAAATAAAGTGAAAAGATATTTACAATTGATTACTTCAAGTTCCTACTATTTACATTTTATGCATCGATACTGTAAATGGCTGTTTACTAAGGCATACAAAGTCAGTGCCTGTACTTTTATTGGATTGGCTTAGTGTCTGGCTGCAGAAGCAGAACAGATCGACTGAAGCAACTGTCTCTTTAGGTTTTGAGCACTACAATTTATGAAAAATATTTACAAATTTATAATTAGATATAGATTTAGGAAGACATCGAATGAATGCAACATATCAGCTGGAGTTGTTCCTTCTGTAAGAATCTCTGGATGTTAAAGAGCAAGTCACCCCCAAATCACATTTTTTTGCTGATAAAACTATATAAAGGAATGTCTAATCATGCTACAGACACGTGTAGTCAATAATTTGGCAGTTCATTGCATCTTGGTTAAAATTAAAATATTCTGCCTAAAACTGTCAGTGTTGCACCGTCGTCAGGGAAAAATTCTGCACTGTATTTGAATTTAAATCTGCCACCGCTATTGGCTAAGAGGTATGCTATGATGTCATCTGGTATATTACGATGTCATAATGCCATTGTGAGCCTATGTGTGTGTGTATTTGTTAGCGGCTCCGCCCTCTCGGTCTGCCAAGCAACAGCATTTGTTGCATTTTTCAAACATGAAGTGGGAGTGAAGTAAGTTTCTTGTAGGGGGTGACTTGCTCTTTAAAAAGGTTTCTCGTGTTTGCACCTTATGACACAAAGCAGATCAGACTGTCAGGTCTTTGAAGTGATGCTTTTGGGCCTGGTCCCTGGTGGTTTCCAGACATTATTTAGTTTACAGATCTTTAGCTGCACATGGAATGTTCTCATACGGGTTCTTGCCTAGTAAGCAGGGGGTTGCCTCCTGTAAAAATGGAGATGATCAGCCTCATTTTGTCTTTCAGCACACTCCGTAAAGTCCTAAATTTAAAAAATGTGGTTTGTGGGAGAGGCTAATCTACTTTCTAAGGCTAACACTTTTAAACTCCTCTTAAGCACACACTCAACTTGTTAATAACTAAAAGGATTGTTCAATACCTGCTCAAATAAACAAGGCAATTCTACAGACTCGTGGATTTGTAAGTAGCATTAATGAAGAATACAGGATCATATAGAACAGAAATATGTAGATTTACAAGCAAACTACCTGTGTACAGGCACTGACTTTGTATGCCTTAGTAAACAGCCATTTACAGTATCGATGCATAAAATGTAAATAGTAGGAACTTGAAGTAATCAATTGTAAATATCTTTTCACTTGAAGAATGCCATAACTGTGAAAACCAGTGCAGATTATTATACATGTGCAACACTGTTAAACCATTTTTCAGTAAGATAATTGTAATTTTTCCATGTGTTTATTGAAAAGGAAAAAGCTGACTAATCACAGAAATAATGATTAGTTGATTAGAAACAAGTGCTCAACTAGAACATTTGGAATTTGTGTTACAGCAGTTCATGTTTTCAACTTAAATATCAAATATTACAGAAAGTTAGCAAATCGGTAGCAAGTATGCAGGTGCTTCAGTATTGTAGTGGGCATAATCATCAACAGACACGTTTGTTTTATAAGAGGTTAAAATTAATTTGTTTTAACCAGCGTTTCAGGATCATGAGGACATTTTCAGTCATGTCTTGGTGAAGCAGCAATGAAAAACGTGTTTCTTGATTATGTAAATAAAAACATTTAAGAGCATATTTTAGCCAAGAAAGCTCATTAGCAAATTCTAGTTTAAGGCTTCTATAGGAGAACAACAAGCAGACATGTTTCAAACTTTAATTAAAGTGCTCTGATCCTGGATCTGGGAAGGTTCTGGAGTGGCTGGTCTGAGGAGCTGGAGAGTGATGATGGAGAAGCAAGACAGAACATCTTCAGAAGCTCCTGTAAGACAAGTATAACAGTCGTTAAAAAAAAAAAAAAAAAAAAACAATAGTGTGGCCAGGTGGATAAACGAGGGCTCGGGCGGGATTCGATCCCCAGACTCCCGGGTGAGAGTCATACGCTCTAACAGTCAGCCAAAGGAACATTTCCTTGGCCAAGTAGCCAGGGCGCATGATCAATCGGGACGTTGCGACAGCACACACACACACACACACACACACACACACACACACACACACACACACAGTCACAATAGTAAATACTGAAAGTGGATGAACTTAAGAAGAATGGAGTTTTGGACAGAAAGAGCACTGATGTTTCAGCTGGACTCACGAGCCACGAGGACAGACTGATACGGCAGCTACACTTTTAAGTAATCATCAGGTCTGACTGAAACAGCGTTTCTGCCTTTTACAGGTGGACAGAAAAAATAATAATGTTGACACATTGTTGGTAATATTACTACATTTCAAGGCTTTTTCAATACAGTGAAATTAGTTGAAACAGAGCCGAGTTGTATTAGAAAACAGCAATCCGCACAGCCCGACAGCCCGGCGAATCTGGGATGAATTAGTGCTGCCTCAACCTCCTCGTCTTTCATTGGGTCACTGGAGTTTAAATTAAGTGGATGCGAAACCCATGGGGAGGGCTCTGCATAAATGAGAGTAAAGTTGAATTTTAAACGCGTTAAAACTGTCACAAAGTGGCGTTAAAAGCGGCGTTTT